TCTAAGAAAGTTGTTTCTTGCTTTCTGTGTGATTATCTCCCTATAGCTACTGATGTCTCTGCTGAGTTTAGAGACAAAGGAAGCCCCACTGCTCAGGGTGGCATTCTGCACTTCCCTTGAGTGTCAGGGCATCTGTAGCTGAGCTCTGCCCTCAAGCAGAGGCTGCACCTCATTCAGAGTGGGTCTTCTGTGCACCTGGAGGAGCAGTTGGGTAGGCAGCCCTTTCTAAGTTCCATTCGATTTCAAGCTGCCCGTGGCTCACCACATGGGCTCTGAGCACCTCTGCTGCTGCTATTTGTGTATCTTTGGCACTTTCAGAAGTGTGTGCTGCTTAACGCTAGCTTAGTGACTCTGTTAAGTTCCTGTGATTGTAGCAACAACACAGGTGGATTTAAGGTGGTTATCTGATCTAACTTAGGAAGCAACACATAGACTGGGAACCTTTTGGTAAAACTTAGAGGGAAAGTTTTTATTGCTTCAAAGTTTCTCTCTGGAGAGTCATATCATACTTCATTCATTTGGAAAACGTGAACTGTAAGAAAGATGTAGAGCCATCCTAAACATCACTGTGAGTCTAAAAGTCACCAGTTGCTGTAGTTATATATTCCTATGAGAGACTTTTTATACCTCTGAACACAATTAGTTTGGTTTATATTATGAGCAATATTTGTGTATTGTTATGAAATGCAAAACTCTGTATGTGTGTGTGGACATAGCTCTTGCCTTATGTTTTGCTGGTAAGTTTTATATGGAGGAGGAATTCTGGAATGAAGCTTATTGAGTGCATCATCATATTTCTCTGCTAACAAAGCTACATCTACAATGATATAACCCATAAGTGGTTAAAAACCATGAAAGATATGGAGTAGATAGGGTGAATGGAGCCTGAAGTCCACAGTGACTATTCAAAATTTTAGGCAATTAATTATGATTAGAAGGTATCATGTTTGATATTGAATATTACACATCCTATTTTTTATCCTTATGGATTCTTCAAATTGAATGAATTAAATTCTAGTTATCTGACTAAGCTTAGTAAAAATAGAATTAGTTAACATATGAAATGAGAAGTAGTACTTGTTAAAATTCTGGCTTACTTGTCACCTCAGCAAAAACTGCATGCTTTTTCTGGACATATCATTTATCTTGATTCAACAAAGCCTGTTCATATCTCAAAAATAATAGTGAATCATTGTAGGCATCTGTAAAATAATCAAAATAACCATGCATAGTTTAAATCATCCTATGTGGAATGGGATAGAAAGATTGAGTCTTACCATCAATAAGGATAAAAAATAGGATGTAAAATAGGATGTCCATTCTATCATATTAGTGTTTTTGAAAATAATAGAAAGGTTTTTTTAATGTATTTGGTTTTTAGAGGATCTCACTTTGCAGATCTGAGTCATAGGGATTCTCCTGCCCGGCACTGGGATTATGAGTGTACCCCACTATGCTGGGACTCTGTGTCTGGCTCAGCGTGCCCTGGCAGCAGGGATTATGACAGAACGGTGTAAGTGAGAAAAGTCCATTATTATTCACTCACGTTTGCTTCTTTCCCTCCAGGGTGTGAAGAACACCATGGAATGGTACGTGTATGATGCTCAGGATTCAAATATATTGTATGAGAAAAGAGTGTTGCATATACTCCTTGTCACTGAGCAGGGTTGGATTATTTCAGTATTACTGAGAATAGAGCTGCAGGACCCAAATAGGCTGGGAGGCACTGGTGTTGTGTGGAGTCTCTGCAAGAACAATGGTAGTGTTATGGATGTGGAGCTGAGCCTCTCCATGTGATTCAGAGTAGACCTTCACCTAGCTCTGGCATGTAGATACAATGGGTGCTTGCTTTAGTGTAGGTGGAATACATGTTCTGACCAAGTAGCAGAAGCTGTCCATTGCAATAAATCCTGCGTACAGCAATTTATATCTTCATGCTAAAAAATGATAAGACATCACACCTGAAATCTCACTTTAGCCTGCTAAAAAGAACTGTGCCCCAAGTACAGACAGTTGATGCAGCTGAGCCCCACTGTTCAGAAGCACTTGGAAAGGTCTGATCCTGCTGTGTACAGTTGCACCCTGCCTGGCAGCATGGAGCTTTTCCTAACTCCTGGAATTCAGAGCAGTATCAGTTTGGTGTTCCTTTGCCAACTATTTGTCATTTTTGCCAGAGAAAAAATAACTCTTGAAATCTCAGGTAGTATCTGAGGACCTTTTTATAGACATTGACCACTGGAGTTCTTGGGCTCCTCCAGGTGGGGCTTCTCCTACCTTGATAAGCCCAGATCCTTCGGAGCTGAATGTTGCAAATGCACTGACTGACCCTATTTCTTATGCTCCACACTCATGACAGGAACTCTTCCATACATTATGATATCTTCATTGTAGGTGAGTGTCAGGGGTTCTTTTAAAATGCTTCAGCATGGAAGACTCTGCTTCTGACCAGTTAAGACACTCCAAGATCACTCCAAATGGTTGAGAAGGCAGATATGTTTCTCATAACTTCTAGATCAAGGGTATAATTTGTCCTTTCCCTAGATTTCCAGGCAAGACAGTTCAAGTGTAAAAATAAGATATAATAGTAGATGTGGGTGGTGTTTCAAAGACACAGCTATGAGATGCAGAGTTGACTTTTTTCCTCCCTAGGTGTATGTTATTCACTGTGCAGGAACCAAGAACTTACCCCAAGCGACAGAAGATGGTGTTCCAAGCTCCTGATCTGAAAGGGATTCTCCAATTGCATCAAGGTGAGTAGAGCTTAGAGGGTGAGATGATCCAGGCCTGCCTAGAATCGAGCTATTCAAGAGGCTGAGGAAGAAAGACTGCAAGTTGAATTCCAGCCTGAGAAGCTTAGCAAATTAGGGAGGCTGGCTCAAAGTCAAGTTTCAAAGAGTTAGAAATATGCTCCTTTGAGGAGCACTGACCTAGCATACAGTAGGACTGGGTTCAATCACTAATAGCAACCAAATGGGAGCAGGGTGTAGTGAACAAAGTGAGCAAAGGGTGTGGCTGGAGACTGTGGGGAAGGCAGGTGGCCACCAGGGAAGAGAGAGCAGGGTCTGCTGTGGATACAGGAGAGGAGGGAAAGTGAGTATCTGCTGGAGCTGTGATTGTATTGTTGGGGAGCAACCACTCATCCCTATATACTAATTGAGTGGACAGTCGTAGTTCCTTTGCCTTTCCCAGGCTGGAGATGACAAGGATGTTGGTGTGACTCCTTTGACTATATTTAATGTGATGAAGTTTTGACCTTTAAACCTAATTGATGTACAATGCTAGGAGGCTAATGAATAATTAGTTTCATAGGTCTCCCTCTTACATTTTTCATATCTTGTTTCTCCTATTTTGAAATCCATGCTTCTCCTCCCCTCACACATGCACCATTTGTTTCTTTCTTTTCTTATCTTTTTTTTTTTTTGGTGGTACCAGGCACCAACCTCAGGACCTTGCACTTGCCAGGCAAACATCTACTGCACTGAGCTGTCTCCCCAGCCCCACCATTTGTTTCTGCAAATGCAGGAATCTCCTTAAGACTCCTGAAAGAAGTTCCTTCCAGTTTTATTTCAATAAGGTCTTCCCAGAATCCTCTGGTAACATCACACATGGTGTTTCACATGTCAATTTTCCAACAGCTCCTGTGAAACTTTCTCCAAGCAACAATGAAAATGTTACCATTCTGTAGGTGTTCTGAAGAATTGCAAATTGCCGCTTTACAAATTCGGTGGAAGGATTTCAGGGAAGCCTTTCTAAAAGAAGGGCTACTGCAGTTACATGATGGAAGATACTTTAAATCCCCCTTAAACTTCAGTGTTTCAAGTTATCCACCTAAATGTGCCTGCTGGGTCTGACAGCTGGAGGAAAATTTATGTACAAGGCATTTGTGGTGTCTAACAAGGTCCAAGGAACAGTTCTGATCCTTGGACCTTGGCCTTTTCCCTGGCTGTTCCTCCAGCTCTTGTTGGAGATTTTCTAGACTCTGAGCCTCATACTCTGCATTCTATAGTGTGGTATGCCATGGGTTTCTCATCTATGAGTTCTCTCACTGTTCCTTTTCTGGTGAGGGTTTTGTATTTCTGAGTCTTGGGAATGTTTGGAGCCTGTGACACTCCATGGGCCAAACTCTTGAACTTTCTTACAGCCTCAGCCTCTTCTTTGCTATGCCTGTGGCCAAGGTGTGCCTATTGTCCTTCTGAGGTATCTGCCCCATTTTATCTGATTTGCCTGCTTTCTAGGCCATTCCAGTGTACATGTTCATTCACTGCTACCTGTACAAATTCTGTGGTGCCATATTTCCCCAATGTCTCATCTCCTCAAGGGAGAATGTTAATCCATTAATTCCAATATTCCTGTGGAAATGACTGATTTGTCTTAAGAAAGAGCAGTACTGAGTGCTGTGCCCAATCTTGACAGCCGCCTTCTCTGCCAATGAGAAAGATGAGGAAAAGTGTGCACCCAACTTTCTGTGCATTGAAGACTGTGCGTAGGAATGTTCTATCTACAGCATGAACCCTGAGAGGTAGAGAAGGTGACTTCTGCCATTATGCTTCTTAGTCATCCAGGGGAGAAAACCAAAGAGAACAGGGAGATTGACATTTTGCAAATGAGACAGGAACTAAGAAATGGAGGTAAGAGGAAATATTAAATCTAGTGGAAGAGAAAGTAGGTAGATTACTTGAAGACTTGGATAGGCCCGAGAATTCATGAACAAAAACCAAACTGCAGAGGCAGTAGTTCAAAGAATCAACTATTGGGCTCTCCTGTGATTGAAAATATTTTGTTCATCAAAACAAATTACCAAAAGAGTAAACAAAATCCACAGAAATTTGGGGAAAATTCTTAGTCACCAGTCTTTCAGACAAGTTACTTCTATCTAGAAGTATTTTTATCCAGTGAAGTACTACTTATGTACAAAGAAGCACAATCTGTAGGTTTACATAGGTAAATGGCATCACGAGACACCATACTTTTCTTTCCATGGTACTGGATATTAAACGCAGGACCTTGAGATTGCCAGGCAGACTGTGGCCCTAGACACCATACTTAGAAGTGAAATAAATTAGAGTTGCATGTGTAAAGATCATATTGTCTCCCTCATGGAAGAAATGGATTGTGTAAACCAGGTTCTAAATGTGTAATAGATACCGTGAAAGGAAAGAAAGTGCTCTAGAGAAAAGAATATCTGGAATGGGAAAAAGAGAAAAGGAAGGAAAAAATACACACACACACACACACACAAATTAGGTGAGGGTCAGGGATATAATTCAGCAGCACCATGCCTGCCTGGAAGTGCAAATTTGTGAGTTCAATTCCTGGTATCAGAAGCAAAAACATAGGATAACATAATTATTGTACTAATTTCTTTCAGTTCACAGGAAATGTTGGTTTATTCTTATAATCTTTGATCAATTTTGTCCATGTATATCTTGTGATCTGAGCAACTACTTTGAAGATAATAATATGCAATACATTAACCATTGTCAATTTCAAACTATCTTTCTTTGAAATTCTGTACTTGTTGTTTTCTTCTCTGATTAAATTGTACTTGTTGTTTTTTTCTCTGATTAAAAAAGTGATTATGGGGCCAGGGCTATGGTTCAGTGGAATAAGCGCTTCCCTGGCAAGCTCAAGCGCCTGAGTTCAATCCCTAGTTCTGAAAAAAAAAAAAAAAAAAAATTACTAGTTGCTTAGGTAATACTGAGAAAGTGTGTGTGTGTGTGTGTGTGTGTGTGAAATGGAAAAACAAGCCACATAGCAAGTATACATTGGAAGAACAAGAACTTCTGAAAGGCCGCCAGATAGCTCAAGGGACTAAAGTGCCTGCTTAGGTAGGCCCGGGGACTGGGTTGGACCCCAGGTGTACCTTGCAGGCCCTGCCCCTGTGCCTGCTGAGATGAGACTGAGACTGGGCATGGTGGCTTGTGCCTGTAATCCCAGCGCTTGGGAGGCTGAAAACAAGAGGATTACTTAGAGTCAGATCTGTGTAATGAGACCCTGTAGACCCTGTAGTAAAATAAAAAGAAAAAAAAGGAAAAAAAAAAAAAAGAAAAAAGAAAGAAAGAAACTTCCTGGAAGGGGTGGGATAAGAAGGCTTTGTTCCTCCACTCAAGGTCATTTAGAATATCAATCCCTGCTATTCATCCCTAGGGGAATAGGTGGGTGTAGCCCTCCCACTTTGTCTTCCAGTCTGACCATCAGAGAATGTGTCTTTAGCCACAGTTGCCTTCTACATCAAGCAGTTCAGGGGCCCACCTCTGTCTAACTGCCTACAATATTTCTAAATCACCAAGATAGTATCGGTCACCTGGAAAGCAAAATGCAGCTGACAGATCAAAAATACGAGCAGGGGGCCGGGGAGATGGCTCAGTAGAATATGCACTTGCCTGACAAGAGCAAAGGCCTGAGTTCAATCCCCAGTGCCTCAAAAAAATTAAAAAAAAGAAAGAAAGAAAGAAAGAAAGAAAGAAAGAAGGAAAGAAAGAAAGAAAGAAAGAAAGAAAGAAAGAAAGAAAGAAAGAAAAAAAAAAAAAAGAGCAGCTTGTAGAAGGAGTTCCTCTGCTAACTTTTTATACTTTATAGGGTGAATATGAAATGTGGTAGAAAAAGTAAAATCAGTTTGTGATCCTTTGCGAAACAGAAATGAAGGGGAAGGAAATGGAAGAGAGTAGGACAGAGAGGTTGGGAGCTGGGATAGCCAGCAAGATCAGTGCATTTATGGAAATGTTACAGGGCAGCTCTAACTTGTGTGAGAGAGGAGAATAAAAGAAACAATTAAGTGAGTTATGCAAAGGTACCAACTCGCCACAATGAATGTAATCATAAAATACTAAAAAATTTTACTAAAAAACCCCCAACTTTGTCCCTGGCAAGTGCAAAGTCCTGAGGTCAATCCCCG